AGAAGCAAAGGTCGAAGCAAAGGATGGAGGAGAGAAGAAAGCAGAGGTCGGAGCAAAAGACATTAATGAGCCCGCGGCAAAAGAAGAAGTATTCATCGACTCAGATGAGAACGGAGAAACAGCAGCAGCTTTTGGTGACACCAGGGGCCCAATTGCAGAGGAAGAGTTTGCAAGCCGGGAATCAGAGGAGAAGGCAAAAGAAGCTGCTGCATTCGTCAGAAAGACTTCGAACACCACCAATGACGACATTGTGTCAGCGCAGAGAAAAATGCGAAGGACCTTGAAGGAGGCAGAGGAAGATTCGGATGGAGCAGGCGATGGTGAAGATGACGATAGAAAACTTCGTGATGCTGAGGAGGCATCAGAAGAAATGAAGAGAGGCAGAGGCCGTGGCAGAGGAAGAGGGCGAGGGAGAGGGAGAAAGAACCAAAAGGGTGATGATGAAGCCAAAAAGTGTGAGGAGAAAGCTGCTGAGGAGGAGGAGGAGAAGAAAGCAGTTGAAGAAGACCCCAACAAGATGGGAGATACAAAGAGCAAGGAGGCTGATGAAAATGAGCAGAAGAGGAAAAGGCCAGACCGGAGGAGGAAGACAGAGACTGAGGCTGAAGATGAAGCCGCCCAACAGCTGAAGAAAAAGAAGATGGAGCCAGCAGAAAAAGTGGCTGAGGAAGAAGAGACGAAGAAGAAGAAGAAAAAGGAGGAAGACCGTGAGACAAAGTTTGAGGAGACAAAGGACGCAGAACCAAAATCTCCAAAGAAGAAGAAGAACAAAAAGGAAGGTCATCCACCAAAAGAGACTGAGGAAGAGGAGCAAAAAAAGCCAGGAAGGACGAAGAAGAAGAACAATGAAGATGAAACAAAGGAGGCTGAGGGAATGGATGCAAAGAAGCCAGAGGAGAAGAAGAAGAAGAAGGAATGTCCTGAGACTAAGGAGGCTGAGGAAGAGGAGCAAAAACAGCAAGAGAAGAAGAAGAGGAAGAAGGAAGCTCGTGAGACAAAGGAGACTGAGGATGAGGAGCGTGACAAGCGAAAGAAGGCAGAACCAAAGAAAAAAGTATCGCCTGAGAAGCCGGACAATCAACTGGGTGATCGTGAACTCTACCCAGGAAGTTGCAAGAAGATTGCTGTTGAAGATGGGGACACACAGGAAGATGAAGAAGAGGCTGCTTTTGAGGAGGGCGAGGTTGCGAAGCAAAAGGAAAGCAATAAACAGAAAAAGAAGAACCAGGCAAAAGCATCAGGCAAGCTGAGTCCGATGAAGTTGGCTGCAAAGGCCGCAAAAAGAGTGATGGAGCGGCAACTGTCAGGGGAAGACCAGGGCGTGAGAAGGAACCTTGCCGAGGACTTTGAATCACTTGCTGAGAAGAAGGGTGAGGCAAAGACAAAGACAAAAAGGACAGTGAAGCCAAAGACATTGGACCCAAAAGACCTTGATACTCGGCAATTTTGATCAACAACAAACAGTAACCGAAACTGGTGATGTTCCATTTTACTTGCAAATTTCATACCAATTTTGGGACCCACACACCCCTGGCCCAGCAAAGTGGGACATCTTCTTATGTGCAAATGCATCGGTCTAGTGTTAGCAGTTTATTTTTTGTAATTGGTTTGGGGAAATTGGCGCACATGCATGCAATTTAAGGAGGCCACCATCAAGAAATTGGAGGGCCTCCAGAGCGCTGATGATCTTCTCTTCCATATCCCTGATGAAGTCCAACAAGCGTTCAATGTCTTCAAGGAGACTGGGAACTGGACCTTTCCCCACAGGTGTGGTCCCCAGGGGTGCATGGATCAATGGACTCGACTTAGAACCTGTAAAGTTTGGATCCATGCCACTGAATCTTTGTTCGACATTTCCCTGCGGGCCCCCCAGGTCCTTCACGATCTGTCGGCCTGATCGCGATGCAGCACCTGTGGCAGATCCGGGCTCGATTGGAATAGGGCCCGACCCCCAACCCATGGTTGCGCATCCGAAGGAAAATACTAGTAAGGAAGAATGCAAAAAATGCAGCAGGTCTCTCAACTGTTGTTTGCACACCATCGCCAAGGCTTGACACCCATGGATTCTTTGCCTCCAAAGTCCCCAAAGAGCGGATTGAGAAAGTCAACGACGCGATGGAACCGGATCCTCCCCTCAATGTACCTGGTACTGAATTGAAGTACTGCCAGTGCTTTCAAGTGGAAATTGGTTTAATGAAGAGTACATCCCGGATCCCCACAACGACCGGACTTTTGTACTAAGGCAAATGTGCGACGAGGGGTTAGCATCGCGTGGGCAAAGTATGGCCATGTGTTTGGGTCATGCCCTTATTGTTCAGATTGATTTTGTTCAGTGTCCCTAAAGGTCACCAAATTAGCAATGAACATCTTGACGTGGCCCAGGTGGAGACTGGCAATGACTTTGGCGGGATGGATCCCAATCAAGGGCGGAGTCGATTCTATCGACCATGGCTCGCCTCATTGATGCTTTTGGGTTTTTGCACCGTTGCAGGGGATAGGGGGGGCCGGACTTGGCGCATTGACATTTATCTCGAATATATAATCTATCTATCGATCTATTAGTAACCACGAGATATCTATATATCTAGATAGTCGACCGACGAATTGTTCAGAAGGCCCCCCACCTTTCTCGGTGTGCGCGTGTAACTTGACACGACGCATTCAACTAGATTCCAGGGGTGGACAACAGTCGATTCACGTCGATTCTCGACTGGTCTGAAAAATGGTGACCGTTTTGATGCACTTGGACAATCAAACCGTTGTGCAAAGCCAGCAATTTCGTTCAATTCATGAAGCTTGTTTGAACCAAACTAGTTCGCCAGTGTGCTTGAGTGCTCAAGTCTACAGTGCACTTGAGTTACACCACAATGCCTCTTGTTAGCCCCCTTGCCTTGTCATCCAAAGCAGCCCGGCTTCTCTTGCTCCTTGGTGCTCCGATTGTATTGCTGCCTGGCTATGCTCATGTGAAAACAGGAGTGGATAACACTTGTTATTATATATTGACTGTGTTGACTTATTATGTGGTTTTCAATTGGCTTGCTTTGAACTGAGTCTTCATTGCATTGACTATGTCGTAGAGAACACACCTGCCAGCCAATCGGCTAGAGCTCCTGACTCAGTATTCCACTTTGTCAAAGTGAATTCAACCCTTCAATAGTGGGTGGCCCTTGGGTTGTACACTAAGGATCTGGTGAATGCAGATTTGTTTTCGGGCAAAGGAGCCATCAACAGTGCCTTCAGTGGGAACCTAACTTTTGCACACACCAGTGACATTCAACACACGCTGCATTCGATTTGGTAAACCGGCGGCCCAACTAAGTTGAACAGAAGCTGCGATCGCTTTGCCCTTACAAGTCTTATATAAATCAAAAACGCATTTATGGTGAGTCGTGCCTTTGCGATGACATTCATTGGCCATGGGGTCATCCACACTAGCTGAGGAAGCCGTTTGATGTGGAAACATCCGGTGAAGATGGAGATATATTAACTCCGTAGCTTGGAAATCCATAACTACTTATGTCAGTATTGGTAAGCCAGCCATTCGATATGATTTGTGCAAACAAAGCCTCAACTAACTGTGCTTCAGTTCAATGACCCATTCTGCTTTGGCCAAGGCAAGGGTTTTTGAAAAGCATCCAGATCATCTTGAGACTGAAAGAGGGAGCATTGGTGTGTGCGGGACCGCCATGCGGGTCATTTGTATTTGTGAATATGGGGACATCGCAACGTTCAAAATCACGCCCTTTTGGAGGGCCTTGGGCCTATGTCAAAAAGGCAAACCAGCCCCCTGTCTTAATTAATGTTCTAAAAGGCAACATGTTTGGTGGTGTCCTTGTTGAAGTGTTTTACAGAGCGTTAGGCGCTAAAAATGGAGACCACCTTTTTTCCTTGGTTGGCTATCATTGATTGGGTGTGCCGAGGCACTGGCCATTGACCATTGTGTTTTCAGCTTTTCAGGAATGACCATGAATAACCTATATTGGGAATGGCCTGGTTTTCAAGATCTCAGCCCACAGCCATGGATGGTTCCCCCTGTCCGGACTTCGCTCTGCCAAGGATCACATGCAGACTCGTCCTGCTTCTCCTCCTCGCCTTTGTGAGATGCGCAGTGTTTCTGGTTGAGCAACCATCCAGCACCTTGATGGTTCACTTTCCCTACATGACTTGGCTGGCAAAGACAGTTCAGCTCTTTTGGCCATGGTTGGTGACCCGATTGTCCGCCACTCAAAGACTCAATGTTTGGCAGAAATTGCAGTTTTCCAGTAGTGGCTGATCATGGTGTTCCTCTCAATTAAGATCGATATGAACTAAGTCACATGGGCAGCTACGGCCACATGAATATGAAGCCCACCGTTGTCTTTGGGTCTGCGCTTGGGACCTAGTAATGTATGAGTTTGAACTGCGTAGTGAGTCTATTGGGGAAGTTGTCAACTAGTGTTCTTTCTGTGCCAAGTACCTGGTCCTATCGCCTGCACGTCAAGCTGACAAAGAGTGTCAGAAAGCGGATCCAGAAGAACAAGGACAAGAATGCCACAGTCCGCAAATACATTGATGGGCGTGGGAAGTCCAGGGTGTGCCAGACTTAATTGGAATTGTCAACGAATAAGGGCTATCTTGACTCTTGACTAGGATGGTTTTGCTCGCCTCCTTCACGCACCTCCTTCCCACTTGATTGCATCTCAGGGTCGGTAATCCACTTCAACTTCGTGCCTCGCAAGTGTACCCAAAGGGCTATGGCAAAGCTGTTTGCTCAATACATGCTGAATGGATGGTGCCCAGGTTGCAACCAAAACGTTCAGCTTCAGTGAACCAGGGGCCGGTGTGAGAATTCAGGAATATTCCCCATACCCTCCATTCTGAGGCCAACAATCAGAACTTGAAGAACATCCGTGATGCTTTGTATCCATCTGTTGGTGGCTTCGTAGATTCACTTGTGAGAAAGGTCCCGAAGGCCTGGCTTGGAGAATCAGCTTTGACTTAATATGAAATGCCCAATTTGGCTTGGCAACAAGTTTTGGGAACATTTGGGAGGTTGCTTCGGTCGTGAGGCCCCATACAAATGGCGCCATGCCTGCCTGTCGGAGATCCGTGACTTCTTGCGGAGTGAGAGGGATTCTGGGAGGTACCATCCCATGATTAGCTTCGGTTTAGATGACTGAAGAGGGTCCAAGCAGTGGTCTAAGCTATTTTGGCAAATAATTAGCCGATGCATAGGTGTACCTGGGCAACCCTGCATTGATAGTTGAAACAAGCTTGTTGTGATTGAATCACCCAGATACACCATTAGAATTGGAGGAGTTGCTTGAACATACTTTGGTCACCAGGGTGTGCCAGGGAGTGCCAACCAACGCAGGCAATTCAACTGAGAATGAAACAACGATCAACCGTGAAACCACCGTGAAAAAAGCGTGAACGAGCGTGAACTAATCGTGAACGACTATTCCTAGGCGTGAAAACAGGTTTTTAGGCGTGAATGACGAAACCCTAAAAATCATTGAAATATATTGAAATTCTGCTTCATTTCCAAGATGTTTCATTTTTTCAAGTTGATGTGGAAACATCAGGGCTGCACAGCTCCCCGCACTTGCAGCCACTGAGTTCGACTGAGCTTTGAGGCGCACACAGGCCACATGTCAGATTCTGTGGAAGATGTGTTGGCCAGGGCCGCCGCGAGGGCAGGTCGGGCGGCTGCAACACATCAAGAGCTAGGTGATGGTGGTCCCCCTGTCGATCCCATGAGGATTGGGTTGTTCAATTTATGTGCGCATTCTTGTTCACCAAATGTGATCACCAACATTGTTTTTCCTTGTTTCTGGGGTCTCTGGGTGGTTCCACTTTGGATGTACTTAGACCAAAATGCCCGATGTCCAGGACGGGCGCCCCAAAGCAGAAAAGCCGTAAGAGAGTCCCACCGGAAGCAGGCTGGATGGCCACCTGAAACATTTGCATACCAAGTCACGTCACAAGCAACAAGCATCCATAATAGGTCCCGAAGTCGACAATGTAGATGATCTTCATCATTCCTGCAAGTGTGTGTATAATTATAGTGTGAGCGCAATGAAGTCGATAATTACCATGCACATCACGAGTGGCACAAACTAGTATGCCAGGTTGCTCAGGTTCTGAAACTCAATAACTCATTCTTTTAGAAGATTTTAGAAGTCATGTCAACTTGCGCCAGACTCTGATGCTTCAACCGTTCCAGCACCAACGCCAGAAGCAAAGAAAATGGCGGTTGAAAAGACCAGGGAGGCTCGCCAGGAAGATGCTTCGTTGGTGACACCGCCAACCAAAGTGATCAAGAAGAGTGACAGCGCTGATGGCTCACGGACAAAGCTGTCCAAAGAGGTGCAAAGCAAAGAATTGCTGGAGCCTGTGCTGCCTGAGCCAAGGGAAGCAAGTACTTCGAAGCAAACGGCAGTGAAAGCCAAGGCAGCTCCGAAGCGTCCAGCAAAACAAGAGCAGAGTCCGGCATCCGCACAAACAGCAGCAGCTGTGCATCAATGTCTCAGGAGACCTTCGACCAAGGAACTTGATGCAGCAGCTACAACCCCTCCAGGTGGTAAGAGTGAGACTCCGACTTCGGGGATGAAGACTAGGAAGCCCAAGTCAAAGGATGATGGTGATGGAGTGAAGACTGGGAAGCCCAAGTCCAAGGATGATGGTGATGGAGTGATGACTGGGAAGCCCAAGTCAAAGGATGATGGTGATGGAGTGAAGACTGGGAAGCCCAAGTCGACAGATGATGATCATGAAGACTCCATGAGTGACGGTGATAGCGACAGCGTGGATTCGGAGGAGGTACGACAGAAGGAGTTGAAAGCAAAAAGAAAAAGAGAAGCTCACGCCCGCTTCATGCGGTTCTCCCGTTCTTTGAAGAGTGGCTTTGATCAATTAAGCGTTCTCATGAAAATCATGCATGAAGATCATGCTGGGCCCTGCTGAACCACAAAGATCTATATATTTGCCATGTCGCCACATCATGATGGCTAGTGGTTTCTTGCATGTGCATGTGGGGCGGCATGCTTTGTGTGCGTTAGATCCATTGGTGTCTCTCCACCCAAATGTGTCCTGAGGTCCTCGCACACCGGCAGAGGTGAAAAAAGCAGGAGCTGCTGCATTCCGTGACTCGTCGATGCTCCAGGTCCTCTACGAGCAATGGGCCAGCTGCAGTGGTCAATGGTCGCAAAGCGATTTTTACTTACAGGCCCGCCAAAAGCGCCGCTTCCGGACCCATGGGTCACGACGGTGGATGACGAAGCTTGAGCTCCAATGCAAATTTGGAGCTCAGGCCGCAGAAGACATCATAGCAGCGAAGACCCTGGACCCTGAGGTGGCGCGGAGCCATGTCCGGGCAAATCCGGATCTACATGGCCTAGATACGGACGACTCTTTGCAAAGCCAAGGTCAATTCTTCATTTGAGATGTTGGTGTTATTTCAGTGTGTTGGCTATCAAACTCCAAGCGCTCCAAGCCTCAAGTAAACTAAACTGAGACGACACACCTCCATTGATCGATCTATATGTTTGCCACCTGTTGACTGCTCCCTTGCTTTCTCCTCCGAATCCAGATCCAGTAAAACTTGGTCTTTGGCATCCTTGCAATTGAGTATATGGAAATTTTGTATGGTCAAGTCCAGGTCCAGTAGAATGAGGTCTTTGACCTGTTGGGTTGATTGTCCCAGATTGCTTCATGCACGCATGCATGTCTCAACCAAGGAGACCCGACAATACCTCACCTGGGACAAGGAATGTGAAGAAACCACCGTGGACGAGGTTACCTCCAAGATTTTCCAAGCTGTCGACCGTGATGATGGCGATGAGAGCAGAGGCAGGTCGAGGGATCGCAAAGGGAAGAAGTCAAAGAAAGATCACAAAGATCGCAAGTCAAAGAAGAAGAAGCAGAAGAAGCGTTCATCCAGCTCAATCAGCTCAAGCAGATCATCCTCTGACAGCTCGAAGTCTAGTTCCTCATCATCGACAACGCAGGCTCCCCATCTGACACAGGTTGAACTAAATTAGCATGCAGGTTGAAATTGAAAAATGCTTATCATGCATGCATGCATGCATGCATGGGGTGTGAAGTCAATATAGCAGCTCTCGGACATCTAAAAACATTGAATGACTCGACACCTAGACCTAAAAGCTGATTTGGAGCGTATGGGTCACTTGTTTTTGGTTGTTGTAATCGTGGCGTGCTGATTTTGACAGGAAAGTCAGAAGAAGAAGTCAAAAGACAACAAAAGGAAGAAAGAGAAGAAGGATAAGAAGGATAAAAAGGGGAAGAAGGAGAAGGAAGAAGGGAAGAAGGAGAAGGAAGAAGAGAAAAAGGAGGAAACGGAGGAACAAAAGAAAAAGCGCTTGGCCAAGGAAGAAGCTGAACAAAAGAAGCAAGAAGAAAAGAGGAAGGAGGAGGAGAGAAAGGCAGCGGAGAAGGTAAAGAATGATGCCTTCAAGAAGGAGTTAAAAAAGGGAACTCAGGCTGGGCACATGTCTCCTCACCAACGACCTATCATGCCCCATCACTCCTGCAGGCGCTCTCAAAGATCTCTGCAGCGATCGCGAAGTCCACAAGCCTTGATGACAAACTTCGCAATATGTTCCTTGGCTTGAATCGGTTCGAAGAGCTTGAAGGTTGGGTTCAACTGGACCTAGAAACATACATGGTCATGCACCTTCATTCACCATACGTTCAACTCACATGTGCATGTGTGAAGAGGGCCAAACAAGTTGTTGGGTGGGGGGTGCCCCTGGGTGGACGCTTGTTGCCAGGAGTGCTTCTGTGGTGACCGCCATCCTGGAAGAGGTCAAACCCCATGCATGTGCCTTGAAGAAAGCTCGTTCCAAGTTGCAAAAAAGTGTGGATGATGCCAAGGCGGGCCGAGGGTCAATTGAGTAATTCTGACCGAATCGACGTCAGTGCATGACCTGACAACCATTTGGGGGACTGCAATTTGGGCTCTACCATGACATTCACCCATTGTAGTTTTCACGTGCTGACCCGCTGCAGGTGGACAATCTCGGAACGTTGCAGATTGATGTGGACGTGGCTGATGCAAAGGTCTCTGGCTTCACCCAGCTTCTTGGGGCTTACAACATCAAGTGACCGGGCGGTTGGGTCTGATAGTGGGTCTGATTTTAATTTTGATGTAGTGGACGACGGCCACGATGGCCATTGATCAATGCCGCTCACCCTTGCAAATTCCAAAGTGTTTCGGGTAAGATTTCTTACTTGAGGATTTGTTAATGTTCATGTTGTGGTTGTTGAAATGATTCAAACTGACAACCTCAACCACTTTATAGATTTGATATTGGGGATGCTTCGGGTGGTTCCTGGCTGTGCCTGAGTGAGATGTTGCCATGATTCTCCCACAATAATCTTGGGGTGCTGCGGTCAACAGTCGTGGCTTGCCTTGAAACAACGGCAGGCTGGGTTAGTGTTCGACCCTCAGCTTTAGGGAGGTCTGGCCTGGACACCGGCGGTCAGAATGAGAAAAAGAACGCATGCAATCGACATCAGCCCCTTGTCGATCAATGTCATTGCAAGGCGTCTCATATAGCTCTGAGGTACTAGTACTAGCAGCTACTGTGGCCACGATCCTTCATGTGCAGGTAACCCTTGGAATATCGCAATATATTTGCTCCCGGCACTTGAAGCAAATCCAATATCATGCCCCATAGTTCTAATGTGCACACTGCTTGGTCCTCCCTATGCAGGTCTGGCTGATCCTGGCGTCGCGCATTCCATTCAGGGACACATTCATGACGTTGCATCTGGCGTGCTTTGACTAAATTGGTGGTGGATCGAACCAATTGTTGGTGTGTCCCGATCTCCCTTGGGTCATTTGGGTTGCGTGCATTTGTCCAAAGCCCGAACTCATCACCAGCCAACGCTCGCACAGCCAGGCAACCTCCGTCAAAAAGGTCATGGAGCGTGTCCGAAATCAGCTTGCTGCGCCTCAGCTGCAATCGCAGCATGTGTCAGGATTGCTGGACGCCCTTCAAAGTTCTTGGGTATATATCAGCACAGTAGACCCCAGCGATCAACAAGTTAAAACGTTGGCTTCTGTTTGTTGGGATCTTGACTCATTTGGTGATGACCCAAATTCCCCAATTGACCCAATTGATTGGATCTTGACTATTTATTTTGGAGATCTCACTGCATCCCTTCCAATGTCCTGGGATAGGAGACTGGAGCTGCTTCTCATCCCGAAACAGTTCGACTTGGACATTTCTCTGGCCAGAATGATGTGCGAGATTTCTGGCGCTATGTTCAGATTCCTGTTGCCTCTTGCACTTGATTTGGAAGGGTTGCGGCTAGGGACATTGCATAAACTGAGTTGTTTCAGTTGACTAGACTGATGTTTGAAAGGCTTTGGGTCTTCAAAGTCATGGTCACCAGGGGAAGAAATCCAATCCAACCCAGTCCATGGTGTGGTTCAGAGGTCATTGGCAGTTCAAACCATTGCCCAAAAGCACAAACCATAGGCTAGTGGCTAGAACTAAGGCTACCCACGCCATCAAGATTCCTGTGAAAAATGAAAAGGCACCGCTCGGAGTCAGCTTTGAGACATACCCTATCTTGCACCCACACGAGATTCTCGGATATTTGTGGGACCACGTTGGCATCCGCGTGTCTGAAGCAGAAGTTGCTCAGTACTGGCAACACGCTAGAGCTGTGCAGGAGCCGTGGGCAGTTCTGTGCCCGGCAACTGACAAACACATCCCTATCGGTATTCACGGAGACGCTGCTCGCTTGTGGACGCAACATAAATTCGAGAAAGTTGTTGCCGTGTGGATGAACATTGTTCACTTCCGCCCACGCTCTGTGCGGCATTCACGCTACCTACTGTTTTCGTGCCCACACCATGTGGTGTACAAAAACCGTACACTCAACGCTGTTTGGCGGCGGATAGTATGGTCATTGGAAGCAGCTTTTGATGGACAGAACCCTCAGCAGGGTGTCGGAGGGAAACCGTTGTCGCAATATGATCAGGCCCGTGCATCCATTCCACTGACTCGATCTGGAGCGCGATTCGCGTTGACAGAATTGAGAGGTGACTGGGAATGGGTGCGGGACGTATGGAGACCAACGGCATCTTGGCAATCTGACACCATTTGCCATCTTTGCCCGGCATTGGCCAAAGGTCCAGACTCAGGAAGCCTTTATTACAACCATGGTGATGCGGGGAGCTGGGAATCCGAGGAATTCGGGTTGGAGGCGTTTGTCTCACGCCGGCTCAAAGACAAGAACTTGTGCACCTTGTCCTTGTCAGTTGTTTTGTGGGTGCCTCATGTGTGAACTCCCTATCGTAAGCTAGGGTTCCTGTTGACTGTGGTGAGGGTCTGGGCCAGTAGCATACGGCATACATGGTTTGTTTGGCAAATGGCAAGGTCCACTACTGAACCTTCGAATGTTTCGGCACCCAAGTCTTCTGCGGTGGTGCACGATGCATACGTTGAATCTGGGCTTGGTGTTTACTGCGAATGGTGGGAGTTTGAGTCTCAACTGCGCTTGTCACACCGTTTTTCTTTAACCACTTTAACCACTTGCCAGGGATAAAAGGGGTGATCTTGGAAACCCTGTGTTGATTGACACACAAGTTTATTCTCAGGATGCTATTGATTGAAGATCTGATGTATTTTGGGGGAGGAGCGTTCAGCGATCAGTTGGAGGAAGCGTACAAGCACTTTATTAATTTCTGCAGAACCCGTTCAATCAAGCACTCCCAACCTCCATTTCTTCCCAAAATGGTGACCCGTTCTGCTCATGATTCAGCACAGAGTTTTTTTTGCAGAGTTTTTTGGAACCCCGTACGGTTGATGTATGTTGAAGTCTCCGGAAACATCTGTTTGTCGTCTTTTGACCTTTATCCTAAGATATGTCCTAAGTGCTTCTGGGTCCTGCACCGGCTTTGGTCCCAAGTACTGTGACTTAGGTCAAAAAGCGCAATGGAGAGATCCTATTTACTGCAAAGGCTTTCAACGGGAGAATCATAGTGATGTGGCTGAATCATTGCTTGCTGCATGCAAAGCAGCTTCACCCTGACCATGAAATCCTTTTGCTCACTAGTGTGGGAATGAATCTTGATTGAACAACTGGAGTTGTCAACATGACATGGCTACACAGCAACCCTTGTTCCACAAATGCTCCCCCAATACAGCTGAACTGGTGCCAAGGAGCTCGTTGGCAAAGTTCTTCACCACCATGGAAGCAAACGACCGCCACTTGAAGCGTGGCAGCAAGGGCTATGCACCAGGTGCACTATACTATTCGATATCCTAAACCACTGGAGATGAGAGTTTGTGAAGGGTCCACTTTTTGATGTGATGCCATGCCTTCCCATACTTTTTCTTGAAGGGCCAACTGAGGTGGTCGGCCCCACTTGCTGGTGCAATTTGTTGTGATACAGTTTATGGGTGCCTCCCTAACCCTAGGACTCCAAAGTCTATTAAAACAGGCCCAAAGATGGTTTCATGATACACAACATACTTTCACCTTGCGCGCACATTGCTTAGGACAATGGATGCTGCAAAGAAGCTCCACGATTCTGGACTGCTGTTTGTGGACATGTACAAAGCGCTATGTGTCGAGCACATAAGGCCCAGTGCAGAATAGTGCAAACTTGTTTGCTATGTTGCGTGTGTATAGTCCATGGACATTTCCATGGACCTGACGCTTGACGCACAGGCTCCAGAAAAGCGCCTGGCTGATGAAGCCAAAAGTTCACGCTACCTGTCTCAACATAATGTGTGCAACCATGTGCATACCAGGTCCAGTACAATGTGCAAGGCATGCGCACTGCAAGCGTTCACAATTAGTGGAGGGTGAGAAACTCATCACTCAGGTGCTGATTCATATTTGCAAAGACTGCCTTCGTTACCGTGCCTTGGAAATTCTATTGTGTGAGTCGTCCATGCATGCCTGGGAAGTTGGGAAGTTGCAGCGCTTCTTGTCATTTCCTGATCTGTTGAGGGAACAACCCACGCTATTGGCACACCTATTGCGATGAGGACGCCATGCGCTGGGTCAAAAGCAGCTTGGAGTACCTTCTATCTAGATCTAGGTTCATCGAAGCCTTCAAAAAAGGTTTCCGCATCTTTATGTTTCATGAGCTTGAGGCATATCGGCAAGGGCGCATCCCAGAACCCGCCATGCCTGGCTCCTGAAATGTACAAAATTGAGGCCCTTCAATTCATGCTGTCGTTTCTCCACAAAAGCTTAGCAAATGCGTTTTTGGATCCGGGGGGGTCCTGCAATTGCAGGTTGCATTCCATGAAGTTCTCCACATCTCGGAACAAGAGTCTTGGCTTATCTTCACCATCCTCAAACAATCTCAACTGAACCAATGTTTAGCAGATTTGTGCTAGCTCAAGTCAAATCGTTTGAGTTTGCGGGAGTTCTTTCTTAAGGACACGGGCCTCAAGAAGGTGAATCCGAATGGAATGGCTTGGCAAGAGTGCTGGGAGAGTAGGAAGGGAAAAAAGCGTGAACGTGCGTGAAAGGTGAAAGTATGTTTCGTGCAATCGTGAAACCGTCTTTGGGCCTGAGACTATTGTTTTAATAGACTTTGGAGTCCTAGGGTATATAGAGTATATACATATATTATGTATAAACCATGAAATCTAAATCTAAAACATATATATATATGTATGTCTTGTGTTCTTCACTTTCTCCCGTTCAATCCCATTCTATAAAGCCCTGTCTTGTTTTGTTCAGCTCGCATCTGATCCGCGCGCATGGGCAGAGGCAGCTCTCTTTTGCCTGTTGAAAGCCACAGCAGGATCATTATCCACATTCCGTGTGAACGAAGACTCAAAGAACAGGCTTGTGCTTTCCGGAAACAAAACAAAACACATGGGCTGAGGTGTAATGAACGATCAACAAAGTTGTCCTAGTGAAAGCTGCCTTGACATTATTAATCATGATAAAGGTCTTCCAAATATATTAGATTTGCTTTCATAACAATGGTACTCAATGCACCATATATGCACACGCAACAATGACTGACAGGCATTCAAACAGACTGAGTAATGCTGGCATCCCGCTGAACAAGAGTAATGCAGCCATGTTGCACATGATATGCGGACTTGGAGATACAGAGTTGGCAACATGATACCAGTAGTGTTGGTTGAACTCACACGTATCTTGGGAGGGGAGGAGAATGTGTGCAGGTGTACATGGGTGTGACATTTCTGAAGTCTGCATGGTTTCGATGCTTGTTTTCTGTGAGGCAGTGGGGCTTTATTCCCCCGAAAAAAAGAAACAACTTGCGAGTGGCAGAACAGGGAGTGTTCTCGGGTTGGAGACTCTTCAATCAACTGGTGTGCAGCAGGAATATTGTATAATATTGTGGTCTAGTTACTGTGCATTTTCCCGAGGATACCTACAAAACAACAGTGCTCATATTTTGGCTGGTTTCTCAACATTGAACATTCAATAGGCAAGCAGAAACACTCCGTTCACTTCTGTATCTGCTGACTGTGGTTTTGCCTAAAACCAACACCCGCAAAGGGTTCTTGCGTCCGCCTACGCATTCAAGATTGTGCTTTGGGGGCGATCCCAAAACCATTCGATAATCTAGAGTGTAGTACCCCACCACTCCATGTATGGAATATATATATATATAATTATACACCTACATTCGGATGGTTTCAGGAGACATTTCGTATATCATCGTATATCTATATAGTTCATGGAGTGGGGTGTCTGGGGTATGGTTTGCAGTCGTGAGTTATCAGAGTCTTGCTGCTTTGGTCGCTCCTCTGTAGACCGATCCCGGCCTACAGCCCCTGCCCCTGCTGCCCCTGCCCTCGCACCAACTGCTGCCCTCTGTGGACACACCCGTGGCTTGAAGTGGAGGGTAACCTTTGAATCCAACGACAAAGAGGTCATACTTTCTGAGCTGCTAGAGCCCCCCAGCCACAGCCAGCCACTCGACGTGCAAGACGTGAACATGACTTCCTCAGCACCACACCCACGCTGCTTTCCTTTGCCCTTCGTTGGAGCCTGGCAGCACATGGGTTGCAAGCAAATGGGCAGTTGCAACATGGCAATCCCTGGGGCTCCCAACTACCTCCTCAGAAGGTAGTTAGGCACTCCCAAAACCTTCTCAGGAGGTAGCTGGAGCTCTCTATTGCTTGCACTGCCTCGCATCCCACCGTGAAGCCTGTGGATGATGATGAGGAGGACGACAAGTCATGATAACTGTTGTTCCACTGATATATATATATATACATGGTATACATATAGTGTGTATATACATATAATTACATATATTATAATTTATATACTGATATATACGGTATATCAGTGGCAGGTGGGTCAACACATATAATTCGTTCCATCAATGGTCAGTTGCCACAGTTTCGTTTCGTTGAAAAGAGCCAGCTTCGTTCAGCAAAAGACCTGCGGACTCTGCACAGCCGACAGCGGTCACCAGGAAGGCACTGCGGTCACCAGGCAGGTGCTCCATTGCTCACCCATGGCAGATGCTCCATTGAACTGACCATCCCACAGAGGTGGATCTAACAGGCATGGTGCAATGCGTACGGACTTGGGCACCAAATCAGAAGACATACCAACACCATCCAACACCCAGTGCTTCAACAGCTTCCTCATTCAAATGCATGCCCTGCCCAGATTGGGGGCAGAATTGAAGTCTACCTGGCTCGATTCTGCGGAAGTCTCCCACTGCCTTTCGCTTCGATTCCGAGGTGCCCGGCCGAAGCAGTGCCCTGGAAGGTGGCGGTATCTTCGGGAGGCTCCAGCCTAGGCTCCGGAAGCATCGACTCCAGCGGCCGCGGGGTTTGGCGCGAAAAAACACATCAAATGGGTGTGCCAAAGCTCGTCAGACGGAAGAAGAATCACCACAGTCTGGCAGAACATCTCGTGGACCCCGAAAGAACCATGCGTGTCCCGTGTCCACACATTACGCGTGTTGGACAGGTCGTCTGGTTGTACTGGGAGAGCCTCCTCTGCAGTGTTTCTGGAGCCTTCTGCAGCCATGTGGCATATTGCGAGCAACAAAGGCATCGATCTTCTCTTCGAGCCAGCCACTCACCTCCTGCGACAAAGACACACAGCTGCTGTGGCTTTCGCTTTGAACCACAGGTAGCCAACTTATTGAAATTATCCAGGTGAAGAGACACTGATGTAACGTACATGACATATCTGTAGAAGTGCAACTTGAACGGCACACTGGATCTCCATGCCTCTCCGCCAGAACAGAAGACATGCTGCTGATCCAGGTGTTCCACGTCAGCATGGGCCTGAGAGAAGAAAACTTGGAAATGGAAGCCTATATATGTAGTGTGGGGTAGTCCATTGGACACCCCTTGGAGGGTCCAAATATATATATATAGCCTCCCTCCCTCTCTCCCTCCCTCCCTCCCTCCCCAGAATATCATGAAGGTTTAGAAGCAAGCGAGTTGGAATGGAAAAAAAAGAAAAACAACGTGTCAAGTGAGTCAAGTGTTCTTAGATCTGCCTAAACTACGACCCTTTGCCAACTCAAACACAGGCCAGGCACGTTAAACTCCATCAGAACTAACAAGCGCCCACTGCTGGGCTAGGGGCACTCCCTACATATTCACCAATTGCACTTCCAAACCGCAACTACTTGTCCAGTGCTGGTGCAAACCTTGCACACAAATCATGGAACAAACAACTGTCCGTTTGGACTTAGGTGTCCAAACTCGTGTGTCTTCTGTCGCTCACCGGGCGTTCCCAACTCACCTGGTCTCAGTGGGTCTCACTCATCGGCGTGGATTCTCCGGGTGTCCGCTGAAAGATTAGGGGATCTTCCTCATCTTCATCTTCACCTTGGAGCCCAAGTAGGTCTCAAAGGCGAAGGACACCCAAGATCCAAAGGTCCAGACGATTGTTTGAAACCACATGTCCAATAGAATCCAAAGAATGAATGGACATATTATAGGACATCTATCCCATGTTAGAGGACCTCTACCAGCCAATCAAACCAATCATCAACAAAACTAAACATGTAGACTTAGAAAACATCTAGGATGTCGAACGGCCACCACCGGCCCGGCCAGCGGGAGTTCATCAGCTTCACCAATCGACTAAACTGATTCCCATGGCCCTGACCCCAGCCCTGACCCCAGCCCGACCAGCCCATCCAGACCCATCCAGACCCAGCCTCTTTCTGACAAATGTACCTGGGCGAGTCCGGCACGGAAGGTCCCAGACCTGAACGGTCGCCACCGGTCTCCGCCGGTCTCCGGGGTGTCCGACGGAGCGAACCGATGGACGGCCGCAGGGCCCGAACCGGGTCTCATCCCGCGGGATGAGCCTTGCTGCGCTCCGACATCCGGTTCGGTGGATTGTGCGGATTTGGGGTTCTGTGTTTGGATGGTGTCTGTTCTCCAAAATGATCCCAAAATGACTCAATTCACCGAGCTGCTTGATGTATGTCAGGATGGATGGGTCTCCTTTCACCAGGATCCCAGAGACTTCGCGCACCATGGCCGCGAGGCGAGCAGACTCGCTTGGTCTTCGGCTAAGCTAAGTATATATAGCTCGAACAGAACTGTGAAAATCTGAAAGGCAAGCTTGCTTTGACTTCTCAGATCTTCTCTCTCCAACCTGAATCTATATGTAATAAGTTGAGGAAATCACACACCGGTAAGCATTAATGCGACTAAGTTATTGTGTATTTCATGTTATTTCCAATTGTTTCCAGAGCTTCAGTGCCCGGGTCAGATGCTGTATTGGCCTTGATCGCGACATGCTGTTACATGCTGCTGTTCTTGAGCAGAACATGTGCCCACAAACATGTCTTCACCGAAGTCGAACCACCACCGATTGGGTAGCATCCCGAACAAACAGTTTTACCAAGCATTTTGCCCGGACCAAAACCAGCCCAACCCAGCCCGCCGTCGTCACAGACCCATCGGCCTGACCGACTGAACCACCGTCACCTGACCTGGCCCGAGCAGCATCCATCCCGCAGGGGTGGAACGTCATCCAGCGTCCAGGAACGGAATGGCAAGGCCCAAGGCATCGCCATATGGTGGATCAAATTAGATATACTTTAATTTTGCTCATATATATGCCAAGCAGCACGCGTGCTTCTTCATACACCTGAATTTCGAGGGCAGAAGCCTTGTCAATGCAGCCATGAACTGAGCGGTGTCGTCTCTGGAGGCATGACTAGAAAACGACTCTTCTTCAGCAAACAAGAGCCTTGAATTTGTCATACCTCCCTTTACAGGCTTGGTCTGACAAGGGGATGTCCATGGAACACAATTGAGAACACACGTACAAACATCTTCCAGCCACATGGAATAGTGATTAGTCCATGCCATATTGAATTCCAAGAAGGGCACCCGGAAAGGTCCGCGGACGCAGACCCCACTGCAAAGGAGAAAACATCAATCGCACCTCATTGATCATAAGAGGGGGTCTCCGTACTAAACAGTTGAAATGATGATAGTACGCGACGAACCATGCAGGGATGAGATGAGCTGATCATATCAGCTTGTCCATTCAATCAAATTTGTGGATGTTGCCCACAGTTGATGAAATTGGCTGGCCCTGGGCAGGGTGGCTTCCCTGCCAGCCACTTTCTTCCGGAGTCAACTTGCCCAACATGGCAGGATGGACTGACTCGTCTTTTTGGTCGCACGAAATCAATCGCGAGGGCCATAAGGCTCCAAATATCGGGGTTGCCGGCACTGCTTGGCCGTGGCATGTGTGGAAGAAACCCACAACAAGAACAGTGCTTGGATATGGATATTTTTGGATCTTAGTCAAATATACTTGGCTTTGGTCATCAAGAGCGACACGGCATGAATTGCTCCAATTCAGAAAGTAGAAGTCTTTTGTGCTGTGTCCTTCAGCATTCTGTTCATCCGATGACACCTTGCTGGCCATCGCCGCCGCTGTGTTCGGCGGCCAAACGCTCTCACCACCTGCGTCTCCCGCAACGCGGTCGCGCCCGAGACGCAGAGGTCGCTGTGAATAGGACCATGAAATGCATTGCTTCTGAGCCTCAACTCTATACATTGTGATCGCTGACATTCGCTGACCGCGTTGTGATCAGTTGAAGAACTATCTTTTAGGTTGGGATTGGCATCTCATCATGCGTTTCCAAGACCCTTCGCTAGATCACAATCCCTATAAAAGCCATAGTCAAGCCCGAAAGGGTCTTCTTAACCTGAACTATAGTAGTAATCCAAACGAAATCAGATCGGCAAGTTGCGACCAGGGAGCGTCCGAACTTGAACAGCATCCACTTGGACCCCACTGCAGTTTGATCGTCTCGTCGGGTTTCCGCATCTCCGTGTCGTCCGATTTGTCGTCCGTGGCGCGTCCGAAGCCAAATCGTCCAATCCCGAAAGCATCGCGCCTAGGCGTAGAGCTCGTGGTCCATGCAAATGTCTGGCCTGTCCTCGTGCGCAGAAAACACGGTTCGCTGAGAAGGACCGACCTGATATATGTTGATCCGATCTCGAATGTTTAAGATCTGAAGATATCAAATCTGATATGAGTATATACAAGGTAATTTGCTTCATGGTTGATCCTCAAATGGATGGCAATCTCCTCAAATGGACTCGCTGCATGTAACTACTGCAATACATACAATACACTCTTATAGACTTATAGATATCTCTTGATGTGCCCCCCAAAAGGAACGTTAACGTTGGTAGTCTCAACCACAGCTGGGAGAGCTTCAGGATGATCTTTGCTATTCTTTGCTTAAGTGGATGCTACCCACAAAAAGCAATCCTAAAACATATGAAACACACAGTACTTAGATGGAAGCGCATGCTAAATACCGGTTGAATATCTGCTTGGGCAGCGGTTTTCCATTTTATAAAAACAGATAGCCATCTTTAGAATGGTCGGAACAGGATAACAGTCCAAACTGCTAAACCAACCTGTTCTGTTTGAAGACCGGGGATTTTTTCCTTTTTATCATCGGCCCGAGTCCAGAGTTGTCCAGCAAACACCCATCGAGTCACAGACTCATTTCGGCTTTCCCATCCCGTTCCCGGGGAGGGTGAAACAATTGAGGATCAATTAAGATAGATCTTCCAGCCTCAAACTTCCCACCGATTTCCTGAATGGCTTCTACAAGTAGCACACCAAATCCCTCACCCTGAACTTCTCCCTCCAACACGTGAAGAGCGAAGGAGCCAGGTGCAGACCATACTTCTCCATGGCGCTGGTGACCACCTCCGGAGCGATCTTCCCTTGCCTGGCCCCACTCGCACTCCGCCCCGTTTCTTCCGCCGGAGGGGGAATTCCAAGGGATAATGGGGTCAGATGATGTGAGACACTCACCAATTTTGGATTTCACTGAAGAACTCAGTCAGTGACTGAGCAGCGTTCTTGTTGCGAACCGAAGGAGGAAGGCCCAAACAAATATTTCCAAATGATATGGGTCATATAGAAAGACTTGGTTGTGGGTCTGTGCAAAGACTGGAGCAAGGATGCCAAAAGAGTCTCGCGGGTATTGTATCTATATATATATATATATGGAACAGAAACCAACTCTCTTCAAGGGCGCCCCGAGATTAACGCCGCGTTTGGTTGAAGTGGCTCATCTGAAGTGATCTATGAACTTACAGCAGGTTGCACCTTCAAATTGAGTTCTTAGTTCTTGGATTGGGAATTGCAGTGAGGTGGTCTTGCATTTCACTGAAGCAGGAAGTCAAGGTTCTGTGGGGATGACAAAACAGCCATGGACAGTCTGTGGCAAACTGTAGCTGTAGGCTGTAACCTATCTTGTTAAGGCCAAAAACAAAAGGAACCTGCTCGTGCAGCTGCTTAAATCCTTTCCCATCCTGAATATCCTGAATGCAGCACCTACAGCAGCAACCACCTCCTCACTCAAACCCAGCAAATTCGGAACTTTTCTTCTCGCTTTCCACGCAGGAGCAACGATCATCATTCACCACCTGCAAGACGGGATGAAGGGATTTCGGTTTGGCTTAGGAAACGATCTCAACCCGCCAAATGATTCCAACAAAGTGGTCTCGTTCGCTTCTCGTTCGTCATGCATATCCACATCCTTCAGTGACCAACAGAGGTTGAAGGACCCTATAGCCTATCCCATAGGTACCCCAGTGAGGTCCTATAAGGTCACTCAACCTCTCTTGGGAATGACTCAGAACATCCGTCACGCCACGCGGAAGGAGCAGCCCGATCCTTAAAGCCTCCGCAGTGGGAGTTGGCCCTGTGGTGGCACAGGCACCTGTAGCGCCAGCGCCAGACGTGGAAGATGGGAAGCTGTTTGTGTGTTGTTGCGAAGAGCAACAACCTATCTACCCCTCTACGTCTGCGCAAGATTTGGTTGTCTTGAAGGTATGGCAGTCGTGCTAGCCGCCGATCAACCGTCAAAAGATTGTGCCTCTGGCCCATCACTTTGGTATCCATGCAAGTGTCAAAGCGCTTCTGCTGTCGAATTGTTGATGTCTTTTCATGGTTGGACCCCCATTTTTGCCCTAAACGAGACATGAGCTGACAATGAACATCGCATAGCAAACATACCCTGAGCACGTGAGTGATCTACCAAAACAGCCGCGGCCTTTTGAAGTGCCACGCAGTACATCCCTGTTCCATGTTTAACTCAGAAGGAAATCCATGACGTATCATGACATGCAGTTCATGTTGCATCCACCTCAAATCAAAGCACCTACTCTCTCTCTCTCTCTCTCTGATACAATCGGGGAAGTACTTGTGTGCGCCATCTACTGTTGCGTAGGATGCTGTAGTGAGGACATCTTGTGGCTTCGCTGTGGTTTGCAAAGCCCTTCAAAAAATGACTGCACAGCAGTCACAAAGATCTGGATGACCAGCACAAAGAGAACAAAATGCAAGAATTGCGCTTGCACACATCCATGTATAGACACACCATGTCTGTATCAGGGCTTCATATACTCTGAGGCACTTCCATGTTAATGACCATTCCAGTACAAAGGGTATTTCACACACTTCCATGTTAGTATATCCTAGAATGTTATGACAGTCCTTTAAAGATTCTGGCACTTCCATGTTTACCAAACCGGCCAAACCAAACACCGGTCCAGGTCGATTCCCAGGAACGCACCGCGGAAGAGGGGGCATCATGTACAGTTCCATGTTAGACTGGATTGGTGTGAAAGTGCCCTGTACACTTCTATGTTTGTGCAACGGTGTTGTGTACACTTCCATGCTTGTTGCAAGGAACACACACCTACACTTCCATGATTGTTGCAGGGAGTGTACATCCAAGCGCCCACCCCATGCAACCAAGTAGGATGAAGCGAACACATGGACCTAAAGCGGACGCTCTTCGTTTCATGGACCTAAGCCCAAGAATATGTCTGGAGTGGATGAGCGGAATGAACAAACACTCGCCAAACAAGGTTCCCTGATATTTTCTCAAAAGAGTTTGGCTGCAATCTTAACTTAACATCATGAAATTAGTCCGCCCTACTCATTTGTTCAAGTTGCCCTGTTCACTCGGAATTGCGGGAAACGATTAACTTGTCAGCGATTAGACATCCCCATCTATCGTGTTTGCACCCTTCAAATCAAGCGGGCTCATATCGCCTTGGCTCCCTCGCCATTTTCGGCCAGAAAGGGATGGCACCTCAGGCAGGTAGACGGGAATCCGGAATCCTCCAAACATGTGTTGCTTTCAATATCCAGATCCATGTGGCCTGTGTCATAATAGATTGAAGCAGGTAGGACAGAGTGGAACACTTCATGAAGGCGAATGTTCTTCCATTCAGGAACCATGTGAACGTAAAACACAAATGCATGTTCTAAGGTGGGCAACTCCGTATGGGGTGTTGAGCGTAAAAACCGCCACAACTTTGCAAAAAAAAACAACACTTAAGCACAAATTCAGGTCCCCTCTTCTCCCCCATTCACTGGTCCAACGTCAGTCATCCCACACGCCGTTCGAGGCAGTGGCAAGGCATCGGACGCACTAATCCGTTCCGAAGGGTCCAACCTGAAGGTTCAAGGAATCAGCGTGTCTGGAAAGGCTGCTGCACCCACGAACTGCGCCATCAAGGTGCTGGAACATTGTTTCGGAGGGCAAAAGCATTATGTTAACTGTTAACGCCGAAGAAACAAAAAATAACACAAATAATTACAAATACACGTGCACTGAAGGCTACGCGGTTTGCCAGCCATCATAAATGACACAAATTGAAATGTGCATCTCTTTCACTACCCAAGGTCATTGCACTTCTGCTTTGACATGATGACTGCAAAATCAAAATCTACCACTAAAAGCAAATCCCGATCTGAGTACATATAGCACCCAAATAGTCGGGCTCTTGTCACTTGTCGCACAAGCCGTATAGTAGCTGTTGAATATCGAAATCACTGCCGTAAACGTCCTAATGATTGCCGCCGCCAAGTTGCTACTTTACAATTCTACATGAGAGAGTGAGAGAGACCTATCTAGGTCCTAATTTATAATGAAACCGGTGTGACCTTGCTCTTCCTAAGTTCCTCAGGAACTGAAAATGGCTCCAAAATGCTCTCCCCGAAGAAAAAAGGCAACAAAAAGGCTCTCCTGGGGGATCTCCAGTCATCGACCCATGCCGAAGAGAACTGCGGCCAGTCATCATTGTGTCACTGAGGTTCGGGCGCCAACATGTTCAACAGAAGATCCGCGCAGGCTGCTTCAGCTGGACCTTTCCGGTCCTGAGCCGTGGAGCTGGCTCCACACCTGGTGTGAACCACATGCGAAGCCCAAGGCCAAGCGGGTACGAGTTTGTTCCTCAATCTTTGGTGCGGCTTGGCTAGTTCTCTTGCACATGGAAACCATGGAACACCTGTTGTAGCATCTATGGCATCATATGGCATCACATATATGCTTTTGATGCTCATATGATCTCATATGCCTTTCCCATGTTGTCCCATCTTTGCCCCTTTTCACGAAGGATTTCTTCATCGGTCGTGTACCATCCCTATTCGCTCCACGACTCGCCCGATCGCTCCTCGACGTCTCAGCCCTCCCCGACGTCTTCGGTCCCACTGGCGGGTGCTCGGGTGCCGTGCCAGGTTCAACCAGCTGGCCAGTTGCGGCTGGCGAGGCGCCTGGTTTCGCCGCCAGCGACGCGGTGGAAGCGCCAGTGAACTGCAGGGAGATCAGCTATATCAAATCAAATGAACTACCATAGATCTAAAAAGACATTAACAGGGTTGAGAATCCGTATACAGTGGTTTCAGAGATATCACTGGCACCCCAAAACAGCCCCGTATTGTCCAAAGCCCCGAGCGCTTCAGGTCTGTGCCATCTACTCAATCCACTGTAAAGGCCTCAAGAGAGTGGACTTGAGTTCAGGATTAAGCATAACAGCGAACCGCTGCCACGTCACATTGAAATGAATAACGATTGGTCTATAGTGAGACATGATCGAGTGAAAAGTCCTGGAGTGCAGCTTCCACGTCAAATCTTGGAGTATTCTGTGACTTCCAGCGATGCCCACTCCGCAAAAGGAGCATGTCTGCGGTTCTATTTATCGGCTTTAAGTTCAGAGCCCGCTGGTGCGGGGAAACAGCGCCTGAATGTTCTCTGCACAGCGGCGCATGCGGGCATCCTCAACGATCGGCGCATGCGATCCAACGATGGAGCCTTAAGAGTTAACAGCTGCTTCCAGAGAGAGCGACGGAAGGGGAAGCCCCTAAGGGGCTTGACAATGTTGGGCCCTAACAGCCTCCCCAAAAAAAATGCCAAAGAGATTCAGACTGATTCAGATATGAGATTTTGACATGTTCCAGGGTCGTCAACAACGCTACCTATTAGGACCTTTAGATCGACAACCATATATGTCAAGCTTTATGAGCTCCGTCGTTTTGGGGTCTTCGAAGAACGCAACAGGGTCCCAAAAAAGTCGAGAGCGACCCGAGAAGGGCCAGGGCCTCTGCTGCCAGCAACAGCCTAGGAGGGAAGGCTCCACAGGCTTGGCCCATGAGCCGCAAGAGTTCCTTGGCCGAAGAGCGGTGATCAAGGGGATCAAGGTGGGCTCACTGAGGTGATCTCAGGTGATCTGAGAAATCATAAATCATAATCCCCAGACACTCCATGGGACTGCCATATGCCTACATTGACCCCCAAAACCACCCCAACTGATCGGCATGTATGGCAGTCCCATGGGTCGTGTCTGGGATCAGGATTCAGATCTATCTTTGGATCTCGAGTGGACTCCGGACCACGGAAGTTCATGGCTCGATGATACCGAGAGCTACAGATTCATGGAGCATCGTGGAGCCATTGGTGATTGAAGCGATGCCATGACGTGTTCAAACAAAGGGCAGGGAAGTGGAGCTCTTGTTGTTGCACATTGAGTGTCTCAATAACCGGCCTTTCAAGCATCAACCCCATGAATGCATTGATTCACTGTGGCGACATCCCAAATACAGAGATAATTACTGGTATATCTTATATCGATGATTGACCAGTCAACCTAGGTGTTTCCACCTCGAACTCCCCCACTTCGGCTGGGCGTCGCCGCCGAACGGCAGCGGTCCTGCGGGTCGTGGGAGTTGAAGATCAGCTGCCCGGAGACCAGGAAGCAGCCGGTGACGCCCAATGTCCAGGTATCGCTGGCGGGGCCCCAACCTGGCACCGCCACAATAGAAAAAACACACATTAAGAACAAAGGTTGAACCAAACATGAACAGACTGTTCCAGAATAATCAATATCCCATATATGGGTTTCCCGGGCGGCCACGGATTGTGTGGAGGCGAACGTACAGGCCAGGTGCACCAGGTTCACAGGTGGTGCAGAATCACCGGGGAGGTGCCATCGTCGGACCGAGACGTCGTTGTTGGGGTCGTTGTAGGGGTGTGCGAAGGACACAGCAACGGTCAAATGGCTTCAATGGCTTCCAAACCCAAACACTCCATGGGGCTGCCATAGATGCCTACAGAGGTTGAAGGACCCTATAGCCTATCCCAGTTCGGTACCCCAGTAAGGTCCTAGTTCAGGTCACTCAACCTCTCTTGGTGCCTACATCAGTTGGGGTGGTTGACTGGGGTGGTTGACTACGGCAGGTCCGTCCCAGCGCACCGCCTCCGTGGACCTTGAGCAGCACTTCGGGCGCACGGAACCTCGGGAGGCGGGCCCCGGTGTGGTGCGATGCCGAAGAGCCGAAGGAAGGAGAGGCCCGGTGCAAGGGGAGGCTAGCCTGCTTCGTTTAAGGTGAACAGCAGCTGTTTTTCTGGTGATTTTGAGAGCTCACCAGTTTGGAAAAAAGCTTTCAGTTTGGCCAACAACTTTGCTCGCCATTTTTCACGGATCTCGGGGCATCGCTGGACCATCTTCCGGCCTTTGAGCAATGGCTGCAGGCCGAGAGCAATGTGGTGATGATAGAAGAAATCCCTCAATCGCCGGACTCAATTGTCGGTAATTACATCTCAGGTGGAGGATTTTTTTCAGAACTACCATGAAATACCCCACCTACAGGATGTCCCACAGTCCCACATCCAGGATGTTTCACGCTTCTCTCAGAGCCCTGTTAGGACGACGAATTCCGACTCCGTTCGGAGCCACAAAACTCCCTGTAGAATCTGTTGGAACTTGCGGGTTTAGAATGGCTCCATTTAGATGGCTCTCACGGGGCTTAGTAGAGTCCTTGCTCCTGATGCCCTTTGTTCCTAGTAGCTTCTTGCTCCTAGTAGTAAGGCCAGGAGCCCTGTTAGTAGCGTCCTGGCTCCTAATAGCAAGGAATCTGGAATTCCTTGGCTCAGTCCTTGGCTCCCTTTCCGCTTGTTTGGTCAATCACCAGTCCACTGCGCCGACCCCCCCGCTTCACAGTCAGGGAGCTGCTTGGTGTGGATGGGATGTGGCCTGAAGTGCAAACGCGCGGGCGCGCGGGGCGCGCGGGGCGCGCGGGAACGGCGCGACGTCCGTCGCGGCCGTCCGTCAGTTGCTGCAAGTGGATTCGGAAGATGATCCCTACATCCCCATGATCCCTGGAATGCGAAGTTGTGACTCTGAATCCCAAAGAGACCAAGCGTGAGTCCTTCTGTTTCTGTGGTCCAAAGCAACGCCGGTGTTAGTTGCCAACTAGCGCTCCGTTAGGCACGCTCATCCACCCAGCTGCTGGTGTCCACCAACGGTCGCACGCACGCCCTGAAAGGGGGGCCCATGGATTCGATTCTACAGAAATCATCAGGAACCTAGCGCTCCCAACGGGTGCCCAATGGAGGCCTATAAGATCCTATATAAGTAGGTAGGGTAGTCTATTGGACATCCATTGAATGATCCTGTGTATTTCCAGCTAAGATGAATCAAAGGCGATCATTCAGAAAGGGACTGGAACTCCGGACTGGCAGATGGGCCTTGGGGCCTTGGGGTGGTTCATTTCAGGTTTCAATGTGTACATCTATGCTAGGTCCCATCGAATCCGGACATGGCGAAACCGAACCTCTGGAACGAGGTGAAGCGACCTTTCCACCCTGGATTTGCGCGGGGAAAGCCAATCCTCAAAACATGGATAAGGATGTATAAGGATGTTAAGATTCTCCACTGCCTGCTCGCAACCAGGGCTTTTGAAGGTGACACCTGTGAAGTGACGTTGAGACAAGAAGTCCCTTGCCCGTGAAGCGAGAACCACTCAACTGGTTTGCTACAAGACCTCTTCCATGCCCTGCATGTACCTTTGGGAAGGAAAAACACCAACCTGGAAAGAGAAAACACCTACCCTGCCTGTGGACCAAATGGCTTTGGATTATTTTTCAGGCATGGTAGTTCATGTGGATGGTGCTCTGAGAGTGAATTTTGGACGTTTCTTTCAAAGTTAAGTTGGCTGTCTCAAATCTTCTACCTTGGAGGGAACTGGGGAGAACTCTGGAGCTCGCGGCGTCGCGGCGCACTTCCAGGTAGATGGTATTGGATCCGCTAATCCTCCGGAATCGAAACAAATCGATCTGTACATTTACACCCTACCGGTCAGTTTGACCTCATCTTTTTTGGAGTTGGGTGAGTTGGGCATACAAAAGCACTACTAACATTTACTAACACTACGTCAAGGAGCGCAAAGATCCCCCCCAGCAGCTGCACTGTTGGAGCAAAGGCGCTTGGGAGCGCCTTCAAACACGGCGTTGCCGTAATCGATGAACTTGGCCATCGGGTCACTCAAGATCATCCTGGGCATCGAGAGCAAGTTCGGGTGAAGCCGAATTGAAAGGTCGGTTGGGGCATCTCATTGATCTGCTCGAGAATTGCTTCAATTTGCAGCAAATATATAGGAACGTAATATCACATAATGGAACATGTTCTGCATATCAGGACCATCCAACAAGGGATCAGGGGCCAAGAAACCTTTTAAGGACATGAAGCTTGCGTGACTCAATGCTTCACACCTGGCCAAAACAGCGCAAAACTGGTGCCTTTTGCGCCACACGCGGGATCCAGATTTTGTAAAGAAACTGTACAAAAAAGTTGCGAGCTCTTATTGCAACATGCATCATGAATCATTATGAATCATGCATGGATTCAGAAATTCATAAAGGAACCAAGAAACAACGTACATCTCTTCGCAGAAATCTGCGCGGTCCTACGTGCCAGCTTCGCTGAACAGGCCGTCGATGGAGCTGGTGAGACGGGTTCGACGGTGCGATTCGGTTCAACGTGTTGGCTTGCGATGTTTCTTGCCTCGAGGTTGAGATTTTGCATCACCGAGCCAGCCTGTGTGTTGCTGACTTTGTTGGTGGCACAGGAGGTGCCACTATCAGGCAACACAAAGAATTATTTTTTGTGACATGACATGTATACTTCTACAACTTCAATTGTTAATGAAATACCATCCATTGACAAAACACAACGCAGTTCTTTATTGGTAGCTGAAAACATCCATGTGCAGGTCATTATTGCAGATTGAATCAGTTTTAACACAAGAGATCGGCATAAATGTTTGAACGTACTGTCGATCATGATGTCCAGCGATCGAAGATTCGAATCATTCAACAATCCACCAACTGAAACCATTGTTGCAGGGGATTGGCACTTCCAAAGCTTGGACTCAAACTCCTCGCCTATGTAGCGCTGGACCTCCTGCCACTGTCGCAGGTCGATGTCGTTCAAACGTCGTTCGGAGAAGATCTGTGCGATGCCCTCGGCCAAAGGTGTCAGCACAGGAACCTGCCAGTCGGTTGCGCGAAGAACTGCGGTCTGCGCGAAAACTGCAGGATCACTCGTGGTCCCAATCAGGTGCAATTTGCTAACCAAGGTAACCACTTGTCTATAAGAAAGTATTATAAAGTCAAGGTCCACCTGAAAAAAACAGTTAGTACTCTTGGTTTGGCATAGTTTATTTACCCCCTTACCAAGAGAGTTGTTTGATATTCAAATGAAAAACGAGTTTAGGTATGTATGTGCAAGCATGTGAGCATGGATGCAGGTGGGTAGGCAGGAATGTAATGCAGGTATGGAATGTATGCATGTAGGCATGCGTATAATGTCGGTAGGGAGTGGTAGGAAAGTATATTGGAAACTAGGTAGCGGAACGTAGGAGGTTTGGACCGATACGTTGGCGTGTCGGAAAGTAGCAAGGGGTATGTGTAAGTCTGGCCATAGGCAAGCATGTACGTAAGTTTGTAGGTATTTTGTCAGCCGTACGTCTACATGTCTGTATATGTATGTGTGTGTGTGTGTTCGAGTAGTAGTGGTGGTAGTAGTAGTTGTTGTTGGTAGTGGTGGTGGGGTGGTTGGGGCGTAGGTGTGGACCGGCATGGACATATGTATGTATAAGGACGGAAAAAAAGGAAGGAAGGAAGGAAGGAAGGAAGGGGCAGGAAAGGAAAGGAAAGGAAAGGGAAGGGAAGGGAAGGGAAAGGAAAGGAAAGGATGGATGGAATGATATGTATAAATATGTATAACTGTATCAATAAGTATAAATATGTATATACTTAAATATGTATATTGTGGATGTATGGGTGGATGAAAGCATGATGCATGGATTCATTTATGATCTATGGATGGATGTTGGGATGTATGCATGTATATGTATCTGTATACATTGTGTGTGGGAAACAAGACCCAGCCAATGCAAATAATTCGAAGCTACCCACGAGACATATCTAGCACCAGCAACGCCTCTCAAGACAGCCATATCAAGCTATGTATTGCCGCTCCGGCTTGTCTTAACCAAAGCATTCTAAATTTGGATTTCGCGGCTGGCGACCCTGTCTAACCTGTTAGGTAACCTGTTTGCGATCGAAGAGCGATCCTCGCATCCTTAGACCTCCTTGGACTCCTCACCACCTTGACGTACTGCAGTGCACTGTTGGAAGAACATGAAAGTCAATTGGCCGGTTTGCTGAGTTTGCCTGGAGCCTGAACTTCCAACGATTGCCGCTTTGCTGTGTTTGCCTGGTTGGAGGGCCCAAAACGAACCTCCCCCTGTCGCCGCCACATTCCCCTCGCGCGGCAGTCGCTCTTCCCCTCGCAAGAACTGAAAGATCGACCCGGAGAACCGCCGTTTCTTCACGGCGGCGCCCGCCTCGAGCTTCAGGCGTACCTTAGATGTGCAAAGATCGAGCGTATACCTTCCAGGGTTGACCTAGCTTCAGTTTCCCTCCTTCCAGATCGGTAGGAATTCACCCTGCACCGCTGGAATTGGGCCATCCATGGCTTGGCCCGTTAGAGTCCATAGCGCATGCACCCAAGGGAGATAAGAAGATGACGGCCAGGTTCCAGGATGATCGGACACATCCCCAACCATTCATTCACAGGTGGATCCGCTTTGGTCAATGGAAACGAACCCGAGGTCTATTGAAATCACCTGGCCACAATAACTTGCTTCCATCTTCTAATATTTTGGTTCCGAGAGCTCCCAAACACCACCAATGTCCAACTGCTGTTCAAAGCGTCCAACATGGCACTCTCACAAACGAACGACGAAACTTGGAACGTGTGGATGAAAGCGACCTCACGCGACCGCGCACGCAGAGGATTTCCTCGCAAAACCCGTTCCGCCCAGGCCACGGCGGAGAGAGCAATGTTCAAAACCTGGGATGTTCTGCACCAAAAAGCGAAGAAAAAAGAGGTAACATGTTACCAAACAGGTGACGTTACATCTGGTATACCTGAATTGGTCTCTGACAAGAAGGTATCGCAGTGGTTGCAGGACCCAGTTGTCTAATTTGTGGACAGACTTGTCGTCAGCTCTGGCCAGATTGCGAACGGGAGTGTCGTAACGGGACAAAATGGAACGACATTTCTGCCTGTGTGGCATTGACTTATTTTATGTAGTATGTCAGAAACTATATTGTACAATTGTACCATATTTGTGGAATATATTATATATAGAATTAGAGTTGACAAACATCATGTCTAGACCACCTGAAGAGTGGTATAGAAAAGAAACTATCTCAACACTCTCGGCTCAGTCTTCCCAACGAGTGGTTCTTCGACTCTTTGTCTGGTTGGACAATTGATCTATGGGCGAACGGTGAAGAAGATCTGGAACGCCCAGACTCCGGTGATGGAGATCTACGGAGTCTGGGCTTCATCGCCAGGACACTGCCTGTGTTCCAATGCTGCGCAGTGCGAGGCCACCTTGTGAGTAGGCGGCCTCTTGGCACAGCTTCCGGGCGAGCTCTTGCACCTCAGCACGCGAAAAAACCGCGGAAATGGAGGTCCAACGAACGAAGAACAGGGCATGAACGTCTCGCGGTCCACCTGGTCAGGGTGTAGTTGGAGGACCAACAAGAAATGCACGTCTACAACCATGTAGACCGTCAGTAAACCCCAAAAAAGGCAGTACTACTGTCTGTGTCTGTCCGAAGTCAGCTTCTGTCTACTGTCCGAGCGTGCTTTCAAAGTCGCCTCAGGAGTTGTCCGCCCCAGATTCATCAAGGAACTCACAATGCCTGAAAGATCCTGGACATTGGCCAAGACGACATGTTTCGACCAAACACTGCTTAGCTGCTTGGCCGGGTTTGGGAGGTCCCAAGAAGAGTGCTTAGCTGCTTGTAGCTGCTTGGCTGGCTGTATAGTATCAATGCTGTATCCAAGAATCGGGTGGACTAGGGAAACACGTGGCAATTCTTGTGACCCGGGCCCTGCAACTATATCGAAGGGTGGGTGCGAAGCACACACACCTCATACTAGGCATTTCCAAAACTGAAGGCAGCTTGAGCGGCTTCCGGTTTCAACTAAAAAGCATACAAAATTCCACTCGTTCGCGGCCCGGTTTTCGAAACCATTGGAACAGGGAGGGGCTTGCAACGTGCTTGGAACATGTTGGGTTCAGTGATGCAAGCCCGAAGACACATCACAGTCTACAACAGCATGAGTGAGCCATGCATCAATCGCAACAACCCCTGAGAAGGGGGAAACGAAAGTCTGCGGAAGTTGACGCTATTCTTGAATTAAAACACCGACGGTAAGTCTCAGCACGGCTTGTGTTTTTTGGAACCCCCTCTTGGATCATTTTCTTGGTCACTCAAAGCGGGAAGTCTGGAAGTCTCATCAGAATGAGTACATCAAGCACCCTCCCAAGCAGCTTCGGAGTTCCAGCCCCTCAACAACCACAGCCGCGACACGCCAATCCCAATGTCACAGCGACAGTCACCTTCACCAAACGTTACAACCACCACAATTCTCTGCGCCTGCCACAAAAATTGAACTTTGACTTTGACACCCTCCAACACGCACAAAGTACTGTGCCTGCCACGAAACGTTACCACATCACATCCTCATGTCTTCAGCAAAATTTGCACCACACCAGACATTTTCTGGAGCACACTCACATCCACCAAAAATCTGTATAAATTTTGGATGAGCCACGAAAACACAGTTTTGAGGAAACAGCCTGAAACGCAAATCCCAGACATCCAACTCATGAAGTCTTGACGACTCGAAGGTGGAGTTGATTGTGAATTAAGACACCGATGGTAAATCTCAGTACCACTGTTGCTTTTTTGGAAGCCCCTTTTGATCACCTGGAGTCAGGCTTAGCCTCCAACCCCATAGACGAAGCCCATTGGCCTTCACCCCTAACACATCGATCCAGGCTTTCGTAAAGAGCAAAAACCTTAGTTGAACTCCTTGCGTTTGACTCAACGATCCCGGTGGTTCTGCTTGATAGTCATTGACCTGCTTCTAACAAAAATTGTGTATTCCGAGAAGGAGGCAGGCCACA